CAGCAGACCTGGTGGCCAGGGTGAACGTCCTAGACGGGTGCTGGTCAGTGGTGGGTGACCCCCAGGTGTCTAAGATGGTTTTTGTTTTTGTTTTTTTTTTTTTGCCAATCCTGGGGCTTGAACTCTGGGCTTGGACACTGTCCCTGCACTCTTCAGCTTCTTTTTTTTTTTTTTTTTTTTAACTTTCCTTAATGTTTAAATTGTTCTTTTTCAGAGTGGTCCACTCCAGATCAACTCTGAATCTTTAGCTTTGAGATCTGTTGGCATCAGAAAGGAGAAGAAGAAAAGAAGCCTTACCTTAACTGAGAGCGTCCATTCGGCACTGCGGGAGCTGGTCAGTGTGGCTGAGGGTAAGTACTACATTCAGATCACTAGGTATGGCCCCAGACCCTCAGAATCACTGCCCATCATTAAAGGACAATGAGGACAATGGTTGATTCCAGGTCAATGTCTGTTCTGCCTGCAGAAGAAATGGACGACTGTCTGGTCGTCCTGGTTTGCGGTGCTCAGGATGTTGGAAAGTCAACATTCAATAAGTTCCTGATTAACCAGCTGTTAAATCGGTAAGAGTCTTTTTGTTGTCACTTTGGTGTATTACTAGATGTGTGTATGTGTATGCACACATATGTGCCATTACTCTGCCCTTAGCTTTTTTGTTTATGGCTGGTGCTCTGCCCCCCCCCCCCCGAGCCACAGCTCCACCTCTGGCTTTTTGCTATAAATTTTTTTTGTTGTTGTTATAATTGTTTTTTTGGTTTTTTTGGGGGGTCCGGTTGTGGGGCCTGAACTCTGGGCCTGGGCGCTGTCCCTCAGCTCTTCAGCTCAAGGCTAGCGTTCTACCACTTGAGCCACAGTGCCACTTGCGGTTTTCTGGTGGTTTATTGGGGCTAAGAGTTTCATGTACTTTACTGGGCTTGCTTTGAACCGTGATCCTCAGATCTCAGCCTCCTGAGTAGCTATGATTATAGGCGTGAGCCACCAGCTGGGATTTTTTTTTTTGCTGGTTATTTCAGAGATGGAGTATCTCAGACTTTACAGGCTAGCATTGCCCAAATTCCTCCGCTTTTCAGCCTTCTGAGAAGCTTGCTGGGGCTTACTTGTTTTGGTGCTGGTACTAGAGCTTGAACTCAAGGCCATACAGTCTCTCTTTTTTTTTTCTGCTTATGGCTGATTCTCTGCCATTTGAACCATACCTTCACTTCTAGCTTTTTGCTGGTTAATTGAAATAAGAGTCTCAAGGATCTGCCTGCTTAGAACTGGCTTTTGAACCTCAGTCGTTAGATCCTAGCCTTCCGAGTAGCTGAGATTATAGGGGTGAGCCACCTGTGCCTGGCTGGGAGTTGTATTTAAAGGTAAAGGTGATTATGCACATGCTGTGAATGAACACTGCGCGAGGAGGCCCATCTACCTAGAAGACTGCATGTGGTTGGTTTTGCTTGTGCAAAAGGGATATAAAATTATTGACTGCTATTCACCATCATAAACAATCTAACATTCTGATTGCTATAAATGTGATTTCTCACCAGGTGGAGGTGGCTCACGCCTATAATCCTAGCTACTCAGGAGGCTGAGATCTGAGGATCTCATCTTGGTTCAAAGCCAGCTGGGGCAGGGGCAGGAAAGTCCGAGAAACTCTTTTCTCCAATAAACCACCCAGAAAACTGGAAGTGGTGCTGTGCCTCAATTGGTAGAGTGCTTTCCTTGAGCTGAAGAGCTGAGGGACAGAGCCCAGGCCCAGAGTTCAAGCCCCATGACCGACAAAAAAGAGAAAGTGATTTCTCCTTTTACTGACTAATGTTAAAATTCTCTTTTCTTTTAAAAAAAACTTTCAGTATTCCCTGTGTTGACTACTTAGAATGTGATCTGGGGCAGACAGAGTTCACGCCTCCTGGTTGCATTTCTTTACTGAATATTACAGAACCGGTTCTGGGTATGTATTACATATTTGCTAAATGTCTTACTTTATAAAATTAAAAAATAATGACGCTAAAAAGTCAGTATGTAAAATGTGAGAAATGGGCACAAAACTTGTTTGTATGTATGTTTGTGTATACACTGGGTCTTGAACTCACGGCCTAGGCACTATCTCTAAGCTTTTGTGCTCAAGACTGGTACTCTACTACTTGAGCCAAAGCTCCACTTCCAGCTTTTTTTGGTAGTTGGAGTTAAGTGTCTCATGATGTTTCCTGCCCAGGCTGGCTTTGAACTGTGATTGTCCCTGCCTTCTAGTAGCTAGGATTGTAGGCTTTAACAACTGGTGCCTGGCTAGGTTTTTAATTTTGATGAGGTTTAGGAGTTATTGATATATCCTTACTTTTTTATTTATTTTTTTTTAGTGCTGGGAATTGAACCCAAAGCTAATGCACAGTATACCAGCTTATCTCTGAGCCCTTTTTATTTTATTTTATTTTGCCAGGCCTGGGGCTTGCATTCAGGGCCTGGACACTGTCAATGAGCTTCTTTTGCTCAAGGCTAACATTCTACCACTTGAGCCACAGTGCCATTTCTAGCTTTTTCTGTTTATGTAGTACTGAAGAATTGAACCCAGGGTTTCATGCATGCTATGCAAGCACTCTGCCACTAAAGCCACCTTCTCAGTCCTGTAATTTGTTTTTGTAGTACTAGAGATTGATTCAGAACTTGCTGGCTAAGCACTTTGCTATTAGAACTATATTTCTGGACCTGTGTCCTGGATATTAATCCCTTATCAAGTGTGTGATTTTTTTTCTGGGTCATCTCTCTTTTTTTTTTTTGTTTGTTTGTTTGTTTTGTCAGTTGTGGGGCTTGAACTCTGGGCTTAGGTGCTGTTCCTCAATTCTTCAGCTCAAGGTGAGCACTCTATCACTTGAGCCATAGCACCACTTCTGGTTTTCTAGTGGTTGGTGATAAGAGTCCCATGGACTTTTGTGCCCAGGTTGGCTTTGAACCGTGATCCTCAGATCTCAGCTACGATTACAGGTATGAGCCACTGGCACCCGGCTCCGGGTCATCTTTTTGTTTTCTCAGTAGTAGTTGTGATGTACAGAAGTTCTTATTTTGGTGAAGTCTAATATTCTTGGCATGTGTACACGTGAGTGTGCACGCTCATGCACACGCATGCTGCTGTGGATGGACAGGGCTCATGCAGGCTAGAAAAGTGCTCTCCCTCACACGCTGTTCCCAGCTCTGCTGAGTTAACACTAACCTTTGTCTTCCTAGGTCCTCCCTTTACTCACCAGAGGACCCCACAGAAGATGGTCTATTTCGGGAAACCTTCTTGTAGAAACAGCTGTGAGAACTACATTGAGATAATAAAATATGTGTTCAGCGCTTACAAGAGAGAGTCACCACTGATCATCAACACGATGGGCTGGGTGGTAGGTGAGTAAGGCCGCCTGCTCACACTGCAGGGAAAGGGCAGCCCGCCTGAGTCATAGGAGTCACATGACAGATCAGTACACGCACACTGTTTTCGAGTGAGCATGACCATATCTGTTTCCTTAGATGGATGAACATTTTGTGCTTTTGAGACACAGTCTTGCTACGTAGTTCAGACTGACCTAGAACTTGATCTGTATGCTGGTCTTGAACACTTAAGTTTTCTGGCCTTGATCTCCTAAGTGCTTGGATTTTAGGCACATATATCACCTGTCCCCTTTATCGTTTTTTTTTTTCCTGAAAATATTCAGTATCTTGTAGCTTTTTTCAGATGTGTGTGTACATGTATACGCAATGGTCCTGGGGCCTGAGCACTATTTCTTAGTTTTTTCTTTCAAGGCTAGCACACTACCACTTGAGCCACACCTGCTTCTGGCCTTTGGGTGGTTGGAGATAAAGATATGTCTCACCAACTTTGGTGTTCTAACCCCTGGGAATCATGAGCCTCAGACATTAGCCTCCTAAATTGCTCGGATTACAGGCAAGAGATATCAGTGCTTAGCTTTCCTGTATCTTTTTTTTCCCCCATTCTTTTGTTGTTGGTCGTAGGGCTTGAACTCTGGTCTCAGCTCTTCAGCTCGAGGCCAGTGCTTGACCACAGCCACTTCTGGTTTTCTGGTGATTAATTGGAGATAAGAGTCTCACAGACTTTCCTGCGTGGGCTGGCTTTGAACCATGATCCTCAGATCTCATTCCCTGAGTAGCTAGGATTACAGACGTGAGCCACCAGCGCCCAGCTGTAATGTGTTTTGTTTTTGGGATGTTTGAGTTTATTACATATTCTGGATGATAAGGAGTCTGGTTGCTTTGACATCTGCTGGCTCATTGCGTGCCCTCAGTTAAGTTTGGTTTGTGTTGGGCGGTCTGGTCCTGTGTGTGCTCCAACGCTCTCATCTCCTCCCTCACAGACGATGGGCTGCTTCTGCTGATTGACCTCATCCGGCTGCTGGCTCCCAGCTATGTGGTTCAGTTCACTACGGCCCATACCAGAAACATGCCAGTCCTCACACCTGAATTCGTGGAAGGCACGGATGGCTTGTACACAAAAAGCAAGTCCAGGCACAGAAATCGGTGTTTCGAATTCCCGGACTTGGGAGATAATTTGGAATTTACTGATGAAGAGAAAGACGGTCCTGTTTTCTTGAATGGACATAAACTACTATACGTTCAGTCAGAGTTTATATTTTGTAAAACTTTAAGAAATAGGTAAGTAGGGACTGGGAAGGTGGCTCAGTGGTAGAGCGCTTGCCTTGCATGCCTGAGGCCCTGGGTTCGATTCCTAAGCACCACATAAGCAAAAAGAAAAAAGCTGGAAGTGGCGCTGGGGCTCAAGTGGTAGAGCACTAGCCTTGAGCTGAAGAGCTGAGGGACAGAGCCCAGGCCCAGAGTTCAGGCCCCACGACCGGACCCCCCAAAAAAAATAGATAAGTAAACTGTCACATGGCTAATGATGGGCCCTTCTGTCAAGCAAGACATTCTATTCAGATCCTTAGAAGTCGTGTGCGTGCATGTGTGGAATCCTAGCCCTTGAGAAGCTGAGGCAGAGGGTCTTTCTGCGCTGGTGACTGTAGGCACACCCTTCTGATCTGCTTTTCAGAGAATCACATAACAGAGTTCTTCGAGGCTTGGCTGTGTTGGGTTACCTCAGCTTGCTGATGCCTTCGGTGCCAAAACCACCAAGCTTCCTGCCCAGTCTGACACCCTATCAGGTATGGGGCTCGTCTTCTGTTTTCTCTTGCTGCTGGCTACCTTCTACCCCATTGTATCCATTTTCCGTTGAATCCTCACAGCCCTGTGCCTTGTATTCTGTAATTATCCCCATTCTATAGATGGATAAACGAAGGTGCAGAGAAACTAGTGGCAGAGTTGGCATTCAGACCTAGGCAGGCCACAGGTCTGGTTCCATGTGCTCCCCCCCCCTTCCCTCCTTTTCTCCCTTCCTCTTTTTTTTTCACTGGCCCTAGGACCTAAGCTCAATGCCTAGATACTGATTCTGTCCCTGAGTTTTTTCAGTCAAGGCTGATACTGTACCATTTGAGCCACAGCTCCACTTCTGGCTTTTTGCTGGTTGATTGGAGGTAGGACTCTCTTGGGTTTCTCTTCCTGGGTTGACTTTGAACCTGAGTCCTCAGATCTCAGCCACCTGAGCAGCTAGTATTACTGACGTGTGAGCCACCAGTGCTGGCCAGGTGGAGCTTTCGTCTCCTTGAGCTAGACGCGGTTCAGTCAGGCCTCATCCCAGGCACCTCCTGTGTTACAGAGAGCAGAGGTGGCTCTGCTGTGCCATCTGGCCACATGGGAGCCACGGCTCTGAGCCAGGTTCTCTGCCTGGCACGTGTGGATGCCTCCGTAACTGTGGCAGTCCTAAGAGCTGCTAGTAGAGACCCCGCCTAGAGCTATGAAGGCTGGGGACAGGCGAGTGGGGTGCCTGTCTGCGGCCGCACAGCAATGGCAGCAGACCTGGTGGCCAGGGTGAACGTCCTAGACGGGTGCTGGTCAGTGGTGGGTGACCCCCAGGTGTCTAAGATGGTTTTTGTTTTTGTTTTTGTTTTTTTTGCCAATCCTGGGGCTTGAACTCTGGGTCTGAGCGCTGTCCCTGAGCTTCTTTTGCTCAAGGCTAGCACTCTACCACTTGAGGCACAGCACCACTTCAGCTTTTTCTGTTTATGTGGTGCTGAGGAATCAAACCCAGAGCCCATGCATGCTAGGCAAGCATTCTACCACGAAGCCACATTCCCAGTACCTCTAAGGTGTTTTTTGCTGTTGTTGTTTTTACCCAAGGGTCAGGCAATTGGTTTAATGAAATTTCTTTAAGGTCTTGATTTTTGTTTCTTGGGGGGTTTTTTTGGTCATGGGACTTGAACTCAGGGCCTGAGTTATTTTGCTCAAGGCTAGTGCTCTGCCATTTTCAGCCACTGGCCCACTTCTAGTTTTCATTTGGTTAATTAGAGATAAGTGTCTCATGAACTTTCTTGCCTGGTCTAGCTCTGAACTGTGATCTTCAAATCTCATTCTCCTGAGAAGATAGGTTTACAGGTGTGAGCCACCAGCACCAAGCAACAGGGTCAGTTGTTTTTAGGAAATACTCTTATTTTTTTTTGTCAGTCATGGCCTGAACTCTGGGCCTGGGTGCTGCCCCTTGGCTCTTCAGCTTAAGGCTAGTGCTCTATCACTTGAGTCACAATGCCACTTCCGTTTTTTTCTGCTTATAACAGAGTACTTGTCACCTCTCAATTTGAAATTACCCAGGAAGTAGTAATGTTAGTCATTTTCCTGGAGTCCCAGGAATGTGGGTACTGCTTCTTTTTCCTTTTTTTTTGGTGTTGGGGAGCGCATCCAGAGCCTCTTGCATGTCAGGCATGCGCTCTACCACTGAGCCACACTCCAGTCCTGTCCATTTTTTGTGTTTAGGACAGGGTTTGAACCCAGGCCTTGTGCTCTCACTCTACAACTTAAGACATGCCCCCAAGTGCTGCCTAATTGCAGGTAAGAGTCTAGAGTTTGTCTGATACACTTTGAACCAGACATCAGCCTCCAGAGCAGCAGGTGTGAGCAACAGCACCTGGCTCTGTCCTCTTTCTTAATCCTCATTAGGAATTGAATAGAGAACTTGTGGTTCCGAAAGTCCATTCTGACTTTCTTATATCGGGAAACTCAGTGAACAATGTTTCATGTGCATTTAACTGGATGTCTTCCTCTGTTTTAACTCACTTAAGACATTTCCAGATCTCTTGTGTCTACTTCGACCAGGAAGTACCAGGCATTCAGTTGGGGTTTCTAGCAAGCGTTCCTGGTATACGAAGAGTGTGTGTGGCCTCTTAGGGTCTCTGTTAAAGCTGCAGCCGCCACAAAGCCCTGGTGTTTTCATTCTTTTTGGTAGTGGTTTTGTAGACTTTGCCTTACATCACTGGCTAGTCAGTTGGTGGTAATTAAAATTGGGCTTTTAAGCCAAGCCTGGCCTGGTGGCATATGCCTGGCAGGAGCCTCTGAAGTTCAAGGTCAGCATGCTCTATACAGGCAGACCCTATCTTAAAAACAAGAGGGCCAGGTGCCAATGGCTCATACCTTTAATCCTAGCTACTCAGGAGGCTGAGATCTGAGGATCTGTGTTCAAAACTAGCCTGAGCAGCCAAAACCACAAGACTTTTCTCGCAATTAATCGGTAAAAAGCCAGAGTAGAGGTATGGCTCAAGTAGTAGAGTGCCAGCCTTGAATAAAAGAGTTGAGGGAGAATGCAAGGGCCCTGTTTTCAAGTTCCTCCAGTATTGGCACAGAAGAGGGCAGGTTGGAAGAAGCGAAGAAAGATCGTTCAAAACAAATGATTGATGGGGGTTGCACACTTATTATTTGTTCCTTAGGTCCCTTTTAATTCGGTTGCTATCCGGATTACCCACTCTGATGTGCCCCCCACCCACATCCTGTATGCCGTGAATGCCAGCTGGGTTGGCCTCTGCAGGATCATGGATGACATCCGAGGGTACACCAGGGGCCCCATCCTGCTGGCCCAGACTCCCATTTGTGACTGTGTGGGGTTCGGTGAGTTGACGGCGATGTCATGTCCCTGACTACCAGATCTGCTGGCTCCGCTTCTCCTTACACCCCTTCTCCGCTTCCTGCCGGCTCCTGTGGTCTAGGCCTTGGCCTCTTCTCCAGCCACACATTCTCCCAGGCGGCCTCTCACACTGTTGGTGCTCTGTCTGCTCTCGCACTGTCCTGAATGAGTGAATTAATGCATGCTAGATTTGTGCACCATTAATTTTCAAAAGCATTTTAATGCTGGGCGCCATTGGCTCACGCTTGTCATCCTAGCTCCTCAAGAGGCTGAGATCAGAGATCGCGATTCAAAGCCAGCCCTGGCAGGAAAGTCCGTGAGACTCTTTATCTCCAATAAACCACTAGAAAACCAGAAGTGGCGCTGTGGCTCAAGCGGTAGAGTGCTCACCTTGAGATGAAGAGCACAGGGACAGTGCCTAAGCCCAGAGTTCAAGCTCCATGACCAAAAAAAAAAAAGCATTTCCAGGGAGTATGTCATGTGGTCCTGTGTCACCTGGAAGACCCTGGTGCTTTCTAGTCAGAGCCTTGCCATCAGCTTATCAGGAGAGCCTGCAGACAGTCTGATCGATACTTTGTGTTCTCAAAGCAAAGCTCTGCAGACTTGAGACTTAGTGTCACTTCTTAGCAGTGGGAATGCTGATAGGTGCTTGTGTCTTGAAGGGATCTGTAGAGGTGTTGACATGGAGAAGCGGGTGTACCACATCCTCACCCCCGTGCCCCCGGAAGAGTTAAAGACGGTGAATTGTCTGCTCATTGGCTCCGTCAACATTCCACCTTGCATCTTCTGTGCCCAGGTGAGCCCGCCCCGCGTAGCCCCTGCCCCGCCTCCAGCTCCGGCCGGAGTCCTCGCAGCTGCTGAATGGGAACTGTGTTGTAGAGCAGAATGACGGGGTGAAGCTGGGGTTTCAGGATGGCCCCAGAGGCCTGAGGCAGGAGGGCTGCGGCGTTTTGTCAGGTGCCAGGGCAGGGCCTTCCCTCAGGCTGCGGGGAGAGGGGCAGGAGGGGCCTCCCCAAGACCACCCCAGCACTGGAGGGCAAGGTCTGGGGGCTTCAGGCGTTGAGGGGAGGCCCTGGGAGAACGAGATCCTGCAGCACACCCACCCTCGCTGGGGTTTGGTGTGGAGAGAGATTGAGAGGGTGTGGTGGGGGCTGTCCCCGTCATGGCGCTGCTCCCCAGGATGGACAAGCTCCTTGTGTTTGTGTTTCAGCGGGGGCTGGAGGGAACCATCCCCTACATCACAACCGATTACAATTTCAACCTTCCTGGCGCCTCAGAGAAAATTGGATTAAGAACGTTTACGGAAGCAGAGGGGTTTCAGATCGATCCCACATTTTGCCGGAAAACAAAATGAAGTTCCGACAAGGGGAAGGACTTTCTCCAGAAAGCGCCCCTCCCAGCCTCACTGAGCCAGAGCGCTCGGATTCATGGACTCTCTTATGGACAGGGATTATGTAACATTAATCTTTTCTACTTTTCTCCCTTAGTTCAGATGTGGTATAAACCTGGTCCTGGTCTTTTGTATGTTTAATTATGTGTGTTGTCTGGAATGGTTTCTAAAGAAATCGCAAGGCATGTGGAAGATTTTATACCATTAAAGCCAGAAGCATAGGACTCATCTCAAGTTCTTCAAGGTCTTATTGGACTAGGGATAAAAACAGGGAAACAGGCCACAAACAATGTATCAAGAAGAATAGCGACAGGCTGGCCCACAAAATCCTGGGTGCCTGCCAGAGCCCTGGGCAAGCAGGGAGGGGTCCTACCTCCTTGGAGCCCCTAGGGGGTGCTGAGGTGTTCTGACCCAAATATTGGTACCATCTGCCTTCTTGTCATGTAATCAAGTGTTGTAGCTACATTTTATACAGGTGTGGAGTACAGAGCCCTTTGGAATATATATGTATATGTATGTATATGGGCCTGGGCGCCGTCCCTGCGCTCTTCACCTCAAGGCGAGTGCCCTACTGCTTGAGCCACAGCACCACTTCCAGTTTTCTAGTGGTTTATTGGAGATCTGAGGACAGAGTTTCGAAGCCAGGCCAGGCAGGAAAGTCTGTAAGACCCATATCTCCACTTAACCCACAAGAAGCTAGAAATTAAGCTGTGGCTCAAATGGTAGAGCACCAGCATTGAGCAAAAAAGATAGCTCTTGGGCTCTGAGTTCAAGTCCCAGTACCAGTTTGTGCATACACACAAAACTGTTCCCATTTGGGCTCAGTGGCTCACACCTGTAATACTAGCTACTCAGAAGAAGGCTGAAACCTGGGGTATAAGTATAAAGCCATTCTGGGCAGAAAAATCCATAAGACAGCTCCAGCAAAATGCTGGACTGGAGGCATGGCTCACATAGAGTGCCAACTGGGAGTGAAAAAGCATGTGAGAAGATGAAGCCCTGAGTTCAAGCCCCAGGACCAACACAAAAAAAACACTGGTCTGTGTGGAATTGAGCTCTACGTTGATATAACCCAGCCGTCGGTTCTTCTCAATCTCAGTGCTGTCTGCAGAGCCCCTCAGCATCTTGAAGACACAGCAAAGGATTTACAGCTGGAGTTTGTGTGTGTGTGAGCAAGGGTGGGGGAAATGGGGTCTTGGGGCTTGAACTCAGGGCCTGGGTGCTGTCCCTGCGCTTTTTTGCTCAAGGCTAGCACTACTTTCACAACTGAGGTGGAGTCTCATGGACTGAACTTCCTGGGCTGGCTCTGAACCACAATAATCATGTCTTCGTGTCCTGACTAGCTAGGGTGACAGGCAGGCGTGAGCCACGGGTGCCTGGCTAGAAAATTTCATTTTTCTATTGTTTATTAACTTTGCGGTGAGGGTGAGCACAGGTTCTCACTGTGTTGTCCAGGCTGGTCCTGAACTCAGATCCTGCCTCAGTCACTTGAGCACCCCAGTCGGGGTTTCAGCCCCTACCACACATGCTGTGTCAGGTATTTCTATCATGACTGAGAAAGCTTGCCATGTTTACTCCTCTTTCCTAATTCCTTGTATCACAATAGTGAACACTACTCCTGTAGGTCTATAGTGCAAGGCAGAGACATCCCAGACCAGTTTTAGCCTCCTGACTGCCCTCTGGTAGGTGAAAGTTGGATGCCCTTTGCCAGTCTGAGACAGGCCTTTATTTAGTTCTGGGAGTTAAAGCCACGCCTCACACATGCTCAGGACAGGCTCTACTTTCTTCTTTGGCAATATTGGGGATTCCGCTCGGAGCCGTGCACTTGCTAGGCAAGCACTTTGGCACCTGAGCCATGCCTTCAGTCCAATTTTGTTCTTTTTAATTAAAAAAAAATTTTTTTTTTGGGTCCTGTCGTGGGGCCTGAACTTTGGGCCTGGGCGCT